GAACTGTACGATATTCTGCTGACCCCAGCTGAGAAAATCTGGCACCTACACATTGCTAAATCACACACAGCAATGGATAAACCGTAGTGATAAAAGTGTCAGGTGCTAATTGTGAGGTGGTCCTGGGCCAGATTCACCACTACTGACATTTCCATGTTGCGATCACGTTGCGCTTGCTTGGCGGCTAATTGCTACAGCGCTGTCACTCGCAGAGGGGCCCGGGCCTTGGCATTTGCATTTAACCTTTCGCATCTGTGGAAGGGGATGCCGGTGACACTCCCATGCACCCCCCCAGCACCAAACATTCTGCCAGACTTGTCTCATTAGCTACTAAACATTAATTAACTACCACGAGACTATCCAACTTTAAGCATTAGCATTACTGTGATAATTAACGGTAATTGTCATAACTTGAGTGCGATTTGTTATAATTGGCTGGGCAAGAAGCCTATGTCAGTGTGTCACAAACACTTTAACTGGAACACAAAGCATTTAAATAGTGACATTCATACATGTAAAAGATACACTTTCAATTCACACCCACACATATAACAAATGAAAATACTCCTTCATATACATAATGTAATTGTGCCCATAAGGTTCCTAGATTATTTTAAACTTTCTGTGACATGTTTTACCACATATTGTTGATAACTTTCATAATTTAAGTATTGACTCAACATGCATACATTGCTGTTACGGACGGTTCCAGTCTGACCCTGGTCCTCTCTCCTCTCCATTTGGCCAGCAGGCATTACTGGCCATTTTGCTTTTCCCCCCTGTCCATAATACAATCCCTCTACCCTCATGTGTTTCACTGTTCCCTGGACTGCTGCATAGCCCAGACAGACCGGTCCAGAGTCTGTGAACTTGTGGGTTCTGGGCTTGCCGGCTGGCTTGACTAGTTTCTCTTGCTAGTGTTTATCAGTTTCCTGACTTTCCTCACATTTTACAATGTTTTCTCTCGGTCCTGTTTGCGTTTTGGTTTCTTTTAAATTGTTCCTAATTTGTGGTTTTTGTTATTTGCTTTCTGCCTTTTTTTTACACACGACTTGCCTGTATGTTATAATCCTAATGTTAGATTCCTAGTTTCCCTTTTACTCTCTTAGTTCCACCACTGTTTCCTCATGCCTCATGATAGGAGAACATTGCTAAACCTAAAATCCAGGAGCAACTCTTCTTAATCCCCACCTGTGGCCCACGACACACAGCTGACCCCGCATACATTTTAAAGACGGCTCCCTAATCAGGATCAGCTGGGTGGTCACTCAGCCCCAGGTGTAAACCAGGCCCATACTGACACCCTGCTTCACATCCACTTCATAATAAATATACATACAAACATACATGTAAACACTTCAGCTTGCATCATAGTTATAATGTATTAAAATCAAGCCGTTTTTTGTCCCCCTCTAAAATAAATTAAAAGTCTTTTTCTTTGGTAGTATTCTATATGAATAGAATAAGAAAAAGTCATATGAATAGAAAAAGTCATTGTGATACAAAGACAGCCTTGAACTGAGGGGATTTCTATACTCCAAGCAGTATACAGACCTGTGTCTGGTTTAATAAGCGTATCTCAGCAAAATCTTTGGAGAATAGAGTGTTTGCCTGTGAGTTACAGCCTTTGAAAACCCACTTATAAAGTGGCAACAGTGATAAAGGAATTAATTTTGCCTGCTGTTTGTTTTATGTGATGTCGCCAAAATAGGAGTGTACTTTGAGATTACATGCATTTACTTGACCGTTTCAGGCGTGGCTTTTATTCAATGTCTTGTTCATACAATGAATCCAATGAACTCTTGTTTTAAGGCTTATAAATGATATCAAAAAAAAAAAAACAATTTCTCGCACATGACATTCACCATTGCTTGAAATTGTGTTTGAAATGTATATCTTATTTAATTTTTTTGAACATGGTGTAGTATCGCAGAGTGGTATCTAAAAGCATTTTACTCATGTCATGAAATGGAATCGCCAAGCGAAAGAAATAACTCCTTTAGATCTTTTACACACCTCAATAGACTGGAACTCATACCCACTGGAAGGAAATCCAGTCAGGGTGTAAATTTGACTTCAGATGCTGCCCAGAATGGATACCACCCTGTATGTTGTATAGATCACTAGCTGCACTGAGCTAATTTAGCTGAATTTGAACTTTGCTATGGTACATTAACATGTGTGCCACCCCTAAGGATACTTTGTACCGTGTCAGACTGCATTCAAGCTCACCAACATTTGAACTTCACTGAAATTCACTGCACTGGGGGAGGATGAAACAAGTCGCGCGCGAATGCTGAATTCACATTGCCCGAAAATAGTCAACGAGAAGGCCCCATCTCAAGTTACGTGCTTCAAAAATAGTCAGTGTAGTGCGTCTTTCCTTGTCATATCTGAACACGTAGGATGCATGTCACGTCAACAGGTTGGTCACACATGAATGTGACTGCCTCTGAGTCACCTCTGACCCTATACCTATTGCATCATATCATGCATTCAGCCATAGATACTTTTCTGTTGCTTATCCAGAGATGCCCAGACCTCCCTCTCCCCAGCCACCTGCTCCAGGTTCTCTGGAGGGACGTCATAGTGTTGTCCCTAAAGCCAGTGTCATTAACCCGGGATTGGCCCACTAAGACCTCTGCCACCCTATCCACCAGACCCCCATGGCTCCCCCTGCAGGTGGTGGGGGGGATTGTATGTGATCATTGTCTTGTGTTAACTGTCTATGTATCTGCTGTTTATATAACAGCCAATGAGACTTGGCCAATAAGCCTGATTCCGATCTGTCATTGCCTCTTAGTGTCATCTGCACTGATGTGAACACCTGTGGTTGATCTAAATGCATATGTTCAGTCCGCATTACAAAGGAGAAAGTTTCATGCCATCTCACACGTCAGTATTAATTGCACCCTCCCCTCCTGCCTGCCTCTTGGTAGGAAACATAAGCATATTTAAATGCTGTCCTTCACGAAGGAGCTCTTTGCTCACAGAGGATGCTCTTCCCTTTGCTGTCAGATTCCATCAGCATTGCACCCATGTTTATGACTTACAAAGGTTATATGCATAATTCCTAAAGGTGATCCCAGGCTTTTCTTCAATACTGGACAAGATATTCAATATTCAGTATAAAACTCACAGCTACAGGAACAAATTATAAATTAGCCATGTCCTGTATCTACACTTGAATATTTAAGCCGCAGAAGAGTATCAATAAAAAAAAGGTTATGGGTAAGACAGAAGGGTGGAAAAAACAGGTAATTATTAGTTGTAGATTGTCATAAAACATATCATCTTCAGTAAGTCTTCCTGCCTTGCTTGAAAACTGTAACTATAGTGACCATCATACTGAACAAAAAATTGTTCATATTTTTATATCCCTTCATTCATCACCTGTGATTGATGATCCGGTACAGCAGTGTTTCCCAACCCAATTCTCAGAGACTCACAGACAGTCCACATTTTTGCTTCCTCCCAGCTCCCTGCCAGACATTCCACACTTTAGCCCAACCGGGAGCTGGGAAGGAGCGGAAACGTGGACCATCAGTCAGTCCCCAAGGACCAGATTGGGAAACTGCAATAGAGAATCAGGAGGAATCTGCAGCCTGAACACCTTGGGGGGGATAGTGGTCTATCTCATGGCAATATTTTCACATTTTCCTACCAACATGCTAGTCCTACCACTTATAAGTACCACCAAGGCAGTGATTATAGTCTACTAAACAAATGTCTGGCTAAAAACGTGCAACAGCAAGTAGGAAATGTAGCATTTAAGCAAATTTAACAGAGTTATGCAATTACATTATAGCCCTATGCTTGATATTTAACAGGAAGTAATTCTGTAATTGTGATGCAATTATTCATCCACACATATTCTGATGGTACCACTGCACATCAAGGCTAAAAGATAAGTCCAATGATACTGCTCTTGGGATCTGAACCTACAAATGTATGCATCCTTCCATTCATTTTTCATAACCACTTACCCAGTACAGGGTCACGGTGACCCTGCAGCCTATCCCAGGAAGCACAGGGCACGAGGCAGGGGACACCCTGGAAAAGACGTCAGTCCATCACAGGACACACACTCTCAGACACTACTGTTATTTTAGAGATACCTATTCACCTAACTACATGTCAATCTGCAGGAGGAACACAGGAAGAGCATGCAAACACACAGAGCTAAGGGCAGCACTTAAACCTCTGTATGTGGCCACTGTTACACCTCTAAAATGTATGTATAAGCTCTACATACAATCCCCTGATCTTGTGACTAGTTATCACAGTAGCCAATGAGTGAAGATCCATGAATTCAGGTTGAATAATGTGCTAGGAAAATTGCATACTCTGGAACCTGGAGGCTACCCGTTCCAAAAACCTCCCTCAACATTTTTGGACAAAATAAACAAAACAACTTTTCACTTGAAGAATTTCTTCCCACATGCAGTGACCCTACTAAGTGGAAGCTGGATTATTATTATTATTTCTTCTAATTATTATTATTATTATTATTAGTAGTAGTACAGTAGTAGTAGTAGTAGTAGTAGTAGTAGTGTTAATGATGACAACAACAATAAACAACATGCATGCATGTTTTACACATTCTCATACACTTGCCTCTTATACATTTGCCTCTCTTACCAGTCTGTTATTTATGTGTATTATCTGATATTTTATGTTATGGCGGCACGGTATGGTGCAGGCAGAAATGACGTTGACGATCCACTAGCAGCTCCAAGACAAAAGAGGTTTATTAACAACAACAACAGAACACACAATTAAAGGACCACGAGGGGTCAAAAGCAAATGGGGAAAACAAGAGATAACGACAAGTAACAAAGGTGGTAAGCAGGGCAGCACCAGGAACAGAACTAAGAGAACAGGCAGAGTAACATTGGCACAGCACATAACAAAATGGCACGCTGGAGAACAGTTCAAGGCAGGGCAGAAAACTGAGGCAAACAAGGAACAGGTGTAAGACATAAAAAATTTACCAATCAACACAGGCCACAGGACAACAAGCCACAGAACAGAACAATCAACAAGTACTGGCACAAGAACATGGACAACAGGTGGAACTAATAACAATTAAACACAGAAACTAGGGCGTTTTACAAATACCAAAAATTAGAAAACAGGGAATAAAGCACTATGAACAGAATGCAAGGATAATTAAACAGAACCAGAAAGGAACAGAACAGAACACAAGCAGGGAAAATCTAGGACAGGAAAACTGATATAGAAAACAAACACTAGGAAAAACTATAATAAACAGAACAAGTAAGGCTGGCCTCAAACCCAAGACTGCAGGGCTACAGCTTTTGTGCTACACACTCAACCCCCAAAGGTATGCAGCAGTCCAAGGAGCAGGGGAACACCCAAAGGTTAGACAGGGGAGTTAAAAGGCGGGCTGGCCAGCGACACCTGCTGGCCAAACATGATAGAGACACGAAGGGTAGGGTCAGACAGATGCTGATTATGACAATTTTATCATTCTTTTTTTTGTTTACTCATTTGCATATTGGCTGTGAGATGTCTGACCATGCACCAGAACAAATTCCTCAGACATGTGATTCTGATTCTGAAAGGATTCAAGGAAAACATTGGTTCTGTTTAAACACCTTTGTCTCTTGGTAGTAGAAGGAGAAAATGAAAACAATTCCTCCATGATGGTGATGTATGGTATTTTTTTTTAAACATTTACCTCCTTGGCTTCTCCTCCCTTCCGGGCAAGTGGACTTCATCAAAAATCAGCCCACCATCATCAGCAAACTCCTTCCTTTGGGAAACTATGAGAGAGCAGCCACCATGCAGCTCAACAGGGCTGGTAAGGCCGATGGAGAGGCATTCTTTGCCTGGAGGGGTATTTTTAAAGAGAAATTGTAAGGTTTTTTTTTTTTTTTTTTTAAGTTTTTCAGTTTCTCCTTGACGTGACTTCATTGAGAACATTCCCATATTATGCATTATTATGCTTAGTCGCTTCATCCAAAATTGATTTATACCAGTTAAAATGTTACAATATAATCAATTTCACAACCAATTCACTGTAGTTGAATCAGTTGTTTGAATCAGTCTGCCAGATGGATGCCACAAAATCTCAAAGATATTTTTTAATATAAATATAATGTTTAAAAGAACACTGGTCATTTAGTCCTCATCTAGTATCTCTTGGACACTTGGTATGATAATGGCCTGATTAAAGCAGTATTTCCCAGTCTGGTCCTTGGGGATGCCTAGGCAGTCTGCGTATTCGCTCCCTCCCAGTTCCCTGCCAGACAGTCCATATTTTTGCTCCCTAAAACATAGACTGTATGGGGGTCCCCAAGGACTGGGTTGGGAATCTATTGATTAAAGGATTCTCCATTCTCCTACTTTACGGTTTGCCACTTTTTTTCTCTCAGATCAGGTGCTTTGTTCACTTTACCCACTTTGGCCTTTGCTTTGGACGTCATTGATTAAGTCAGGTCTTACGGGCTGGATAATCGCTTGTGCTTGTGGAAAGTATAAAAGAAACTGCCTGCTGCCAATCCAGTGAGGTACACACCTTTCTCGTATGTTTATTGTGGTATAGTAACTATTATTTTTATAAGACTAGAATCTCCATCGGAATGGTTAAAATCCAGCTTTGTGGAGACTGAAAACAAACGCGCATGAAGTGTGCCTTATCTCAGGCCTTATCAAGTGAAGTCCTGCAGGTTCTTAATCACTCCTCAATTTCCCAGTTTCCGCTTTGCCTCCATTATTTCACATGTCTTAATATGCCCCTGTTTCCATCTTCGGAGGATTATGGATGAGTCCTAGCTGGCTCTCAAGCCGCATGAAGAGGTGCCATATGTTGAGCATTGGAAAGACTGGGGCAGCATTGCAGCTTGAGAAGAGCACTAATCTATTCGGGTCAAGTTGCCAATAAGCTTCAGAGATCCAATGCAATTTCACAACAATGTTGAAACCACTGCATAAATATGACAGATGCATATGCGGTTATTGTAATATAAGTTGACTGCTATTGCATTGCTGTGCTTTAAAGTTTAATTATCAGGATAAGCAAAATGTGCTGTTCCATACTTGGATGATTATGTTCATCGGTATGTAATGAATCCTCCAAAGTAATTAGCCTGCTTATTGCATTCTTGCAGAAAATGAATATTTGTTTTCAGCCGGAAATCAGCCCCTGCAAAACGCAGTTTTTCTTTTACTTTACTGTGAATGATCTAGTCATCCTGGTCCAAGAAAAATAAAAACTGTAGTGGATTTTATCCCCAGAGTTTTACTATGTTCTTGCTATCAAACAAAATAAAATTGGCTTGGGGGGCACAGACAACTACTTTCTTGTTTATAATCTTTCTGTCCTTTCTTGTTATGCACACATCATCTTGATCTATGCCCTGTTCTGAACAAAGCACAGCTGGCTATATGTTTTATTCCCATACAACAAAGCACACCAGTCTGAGAGAGCTCATGATCCTGTGCTTTACTTATGTAGAAAGAAGGTCATAATGTCTTTTTGAGGAAAAGTCTCACTTTAAAATGCTCTAAAGCCTTGTATATTTCATATTCTTACTTTTGTCATACATTCCATGTGTTTCATTTGTCAAGGATTGCCTGTTAAGGGCTAATATGGCAGAAAGTTCAAAAGTCCTGTCTATCAATATTGGGGCATTTAATAATGATGGAGACTATGACAGAGTAGCCTTCCTCTGGCTCTGTAAGCCCCATTGTCCTTATTCCACATCCGTTTGCATGGGCACTTTCCACTCCTGCAGCTTACCCTTGGTGTAGGACGAAACAGAGTGTCTCTAGCTCACAAAACCAACTTTCCATGAACCATTTTGAGCCTGCCTGGTAGCCTTGCCATGGGACAATGCAATTATCCCCTGCCGCAGATAATCACCATCATTTCACAAGGCACAATATCCGTGCACGTGTGCAAACCAGGTGCATGCAGGATTACAGTCAACACAGTTAAAGACTTCCATCTTCTTATTTTTTGTGTCATGAAGGATTTTCTCCCCCAGTTTAATGGTGGGGTCTGGCTGTAAACCTGCAGGATCATTCCCAAGGTCTAGGTTTGAAAATCAAGACCATGCTTCTCACATCACCTGCCTAGCCCAGTAGTAATGGGTATATGATTTACAGACATAATCCGTGGTACATTGCTGTAAGCTTACCTGACGTTCCAAAGAGTATTTTTGGCTTCTAAATTCCCCTCCTGTCTCATATTAACAAAGGCTCTTGTCAACTTTTATTAAGACAGTGTGAAAAGGAGCTCGTTCTTCACCTCCAACTCTTATCAATTAGGCCAAGAGAAAATGTCACCCTGGCAATGCCTGGACCGCCTGGAGCAGACGTGAGTTTGCCGTTTGTCACCTTCCCCGAGTATAAAACATGTCAACAACGCTCTCTGTAGCTCTCCATCCCTACTTTCAAATAGGTCTCTGGAGGACCTGTATATGCTGCTGTTCCCTCCCCAAAATGTCAAAGTACTCTGTTGCTACATTAAATCTGTCCTTTTTTTCCTTTCTTGCCTAACTTGTAGGACGCTTGCCGAGTGTGTCGTCCAAAAGAAAAAAAAAAAAAAAACTAATATTTTTTTCTTTTTTTGTAGGACCTAAAGTGATTTGTAGCAGCTACTGTCAAGGACACTTCAGATGTGCATATCACCAGAAAATGACAGGACAAAGAACTGTTTTTGTCATGTCTGTTGTGTATCTGAGGGAGAATCTCTAATTGATCTATTTCTAGTGTTTATAGCAACAAGCCAATCTTGCTCATGATCAGCCAATATTATTATCAAGCAGGTGTTAGCTCAGTGGTTTCTCTAGTTGAAATTAAATAGTTTCGGATGTTTTAGGAAAAGCGACAGTGGACAGCGGAGAAGTAAAACCAAAATCATTTGAAATGTTTTGGAAAGTGGCTGCTTTGAGTGACGTCATTGTGCAGAATTCATGGTGACAGCATTCAGACCAGAGCGATCTGTCATGACACCAAAGGAGGTGGAGAAACAGCTTTCAAACTAGGGGAGAGAAGACAGTAAATGTGGCAGCTGGAGGATTTAAGTACAGAGACTGCAGGTCAAAATGTGAATCAGAATCAGAATTAGAATGTGTGTACATTTTTATATGTGCAGATTTTATTAGTTTATTACACAGATTTTTTTAATGTGTATTAAAAAGAACAGAAAATAGGAATGCCCTAATGTGTATAAACTTTCTCATTTCCGTGTTTGTGACCTGGGCTGCACAGACTTCCACAGCTGGCGGACCAGGAAATCGGCACCACATGTGATATTTGTTGACGTTGGTCCCACTTTCTAGCTTCCCTGTCCAGGATCCTCTTTTTGGTTTTATAGTCCTTTGTGCTTCAGCCAACCTGTCTGGGAACCATCCATCTGATCAGCAGCTCCAAGTCCCGTTACCTATTTCCTGTGCTGTGGTGTCCTCTGATCTCAGGGACCAGTGGGCAGGTGACCTGGCATTGTGGATGGACGGCCCAGCTCAGGTGCTCCATCTTGGATTCTGTCTGTGAAAGCCAAGAAACATGTTTTCAACCTAGTGCCCTGGGTCCGTGTTGAGCCAGGATACTACATTCTGAATCATGAAAATAGTCAGAAATGCATGTTTGGGTTTCCGCATATTTTCTTGCATATTTCAGTTGCCTCAATCATCAATCAGGTCTTATCTTGCAAATGTAGAGATGTTGCTGTTTGCCCTCAGGCAGGTTATTACTATTATGTTGTGTTTACAAGTTTCTTCAAAATAATCAAAAATGTAAGCAAATATTGCAAGGAATAAATCTTCTGTCCGAGCACAAAGACTCAATTTGAAGTAATTTATTTCTTGTATTGATTTTTATGTTCATACTGCATACATTCCTCAAAGGACCCTTTACGCCTGTCTTCCATAAAGCTTTATTGAGTCCCTTTAAAAGAAGAAGAATAGGGACTTTATTACTTTTGAAAAAAAAATGGTGACACTAGAATGCATCAAAACTGTCTTTTACCATTCAGGTACATGAAGAAAAAACTATATTTTAATCCACTTAATTTAACCAATTGATATGTTTTTTATCTTAATAATATATATACCTGAAATCTAACTGAATGGAAAATAAAGATGGGAAAGTGAGTGTGATAGTGCTTCATGTTACACCCACTGCATGCATGTGCCACTTGTTTTGCGTGATAAGGCTGATTCATACACAGAGATCCTGCTCACATCACCAGTTTGTCTCCATCTGTCTGAATTAATTATGACACATCATAGATAACTGTGAGTTTAGCCATTGTAAGCTGAGCTTTATTTTCTTTTACTGAAAGTAAAGTCCTAGAACGATTAAATAAAGAATCTTTCTGCTTTAAGGCACTCTGCCAGCAGCCTGCCTTGAATTCTATGGCAGCACTAGTGTGGAGAATTTCAATAAATATTTGAATAACCCAATCTTTAAGTGCCCTATCTATAGTTTAGTTTTTTTTCTCCCCAAAAGAACACATGGGCTTTTGTGTTGATCAAGGTCTTTCAGCAAGCATGTTTCTGCACTGGATGATAATAAATAAAGCACTTATTCGCTTCAATCAAAGGAGAAAATTGAGTTTGCCAGGCACAGCACACAATGCAGTCTACACAGAAGGTCATACCTGGGGACAACGAGTGCAAATTGTATTGTTAGAGCCACATTGCAATGAAAGTTCCTTCAGAACAACAGAGAGGTCTGCTCGTTTACAGAAACATGCAAGGCTGACTAATCTGCTCTTTTATCCTGTCTGTTGTCTTGTACTCTTACAGGGTTATGTCCTTTAAAATAATTCACCAGTTACTCTTCACCAGTATTGTTGTGAACAGACAAGAATGTGAATGCATATAATGTGCAATGCCATCAACACTTTAACCTCACTGTTAGCAATGCATACAGTAAGTGCTTGCAGAATGTAACCCTTTAAATCTGTCAATAGATCCCAATTACTCAGACAATGAATTGCATAATGGGAAATGAGTGGGAGACTGGCAAGTCTACATCAATGTCCACTACCTTTCACACAATAGGGCTGATCAGCTGAGCCAAGGTTCAAGGCTGACCACAGTCCTTTACTGGCTGAGTGGTTTCTGATGAATGGATGAACCTACATAACTGTCACTTCATTTGAACTTGCAAATCTTACTCACAGCTATAGCTTATATATGTTATTCTTTCACACTGCTGGATTTTACTGAAACAATTCCGGTTGCTTGAGGTACTGTATAGCATCAGGGTAACTCCATTTTCTCCACTTGTTTCGCTCCTTGATTTTGAATTGTCGTACGATACTGCCAGTGTGCTACAGGATCTGTCAGGGTTTCCGTCCATTTATGGCTTCTGCTGAAGGGGCTGTTGTGAAAACTTTCCACTACAATGTGGATGAAGGCAGGCACCCATATATCTTCGCAGACACATGCAGGGGTCAAGAGAGCACAACATGTCTTTGTTTAAGAATGCAAAGAGGAAAAAAGCACTTTGTACACCTTGGGGTCAAGCTATTATACAGTGAAAGAGTGAAATGGTGCTAGATGGTAGTTGGGCCAAGAAAATGGCCAGTACTTCAACACCTTTGGTAGGAAGCCACTCAATCCCACTTTTCTGGATTAGCAAAGGAACATTGTTCCCTAGAGTACTTGTGACACGCTTCAGAGTGGACAGACGACTTCCTGATCTGCTGGCTTCTTGGCATGGGAAAAACGAGCCACTTCTAGATCTGTTGCCTTGCTTGTTTACTTTCTCTGTAGATATCATAATACTTAAATCATGGCTCATCTAGATCCACATATCACAGATGTTGTGTCAAGTATCACATTTTCCATCAAATAAACACGTCTGGTAGGAATATGACATCAAATATGTCATCAAAACTGATCAAATAATTATTTTTAATCATATTAAACTGGTCGGTTTCACATGACTAAAACTAACCAAAACTACAATAATGCAAATTGTATGCAAACTGGAGAGATTCGTTTTCAAAATTATTGGGAGTACATTTTGAATCAACAAATGTATTGGGATACCTGGCCATTACATGTCATGGAACTTTTATGACATTCCATTCTAAATCCATAGGCAACCATAGGGAGTTGGTCTCCCATTTGCAGCTATAACAGCTGCCACTCTTCTGGCAGGCTTTCCACAAGACTTTGGAGTGTATCTGTGGGAGTATTTGCCTGTTAATTCAGGAGAGCATTTGTGAGGTCAGGCACTGATGTTGGATGTGAAGGTCTGGCTCACAGTCTCTCTGGTTCATTCCAAAGCACTGGGGCACAGTCATGATGAAACAGAATAGGACCTTCCCTATATTGTTTGGAAGCATAGAATTATCAAAAATGTCTTGGTTTGCTGAAACATAAAGAGTTTCCCTTCACTGGAACTAAGTGGCCTAGCATGACCCCCGAAAAACAACCTCATATCATTATCCCTCCTCCACCAAACATTGGCACAATGCAGTCAGGCAGGTAACGTTCTCCCGGCATCCGCCAAACCCAGACTCGTCCATCAGACTGCCAGACAGAGAAGCCTGATTTGTTTCTCCACAGAACACGTTTCCACTGCCCCAGAGTTCAGTAAGTATGTGGTCTGTCACTTTGTGGCTGAGTTTCTGTTGTTCCTACTGTAAATGCTTGTACTTATATGTCATTTAGTTGACTGTGGAATAGCTACTGCGGTAGAAATTTCATGAACTAACATATTGCAAAGGTGGTATCCGTGCTTGAATTCCCTGAGCTCTTCAGAATGACCCATTTTTGCACAAACGTCTGTAAACCTGACTGCATGGCTAGGTGCTTGATTTTATACACCTGTGGCAATGATTTCAATGATGAATTCAATGATTAACAAGTGTGTCCCAATACTTTTGTCCATACAGTATATCAGTCAAAATCTGGGAGAAAGTGTTAGAATGTATTTAAATATATGTGAAGACCATATCCAGTACAGGTTCATGGTGAGCCTACAGCCTATCCCAGGAAGTCCAGCGATAGATGAGGCAGGAGACACCCTAGATGGGATGTCACTCCATTGCAGGGTTCACATCACATTCACATCACATTCACAGTCATACACTATGAGCAACTTCGAGTCCTCAGTGCACCAGACTTCATGTATTTGAATTGCAGGACTAAAGTGCATTACTCACTGGAAACCCCAGTTAATATGAGAAAGCATGCAGACTCCGCACACAGAGGTGGGGGGTGGAGAATAAAACCCCCAACCCTGGAGGTACGAGGCTACTGTGCTATTCACAGCTGTGTGTGTCCCGGATGTTACCCTGCTTTGTGCCCTATGCCCCCCCCCCAAATCCCACCTACCATCTCCCCTGCTCCACCGCAACTTTGCACTGAATCAATGGTTGGAAGTTGGGTGGTATTTCTGATACATCTAAAAGCATTAATACAATCCACTTCGTCCAGATTTGGTCCACGAAACCCAGCAGATGGTCCATCATGCATTATCATTTGTCCTTAATGCTTTTTGTAGATTGCCGTGTATCAGGAAGTCGGACAAAGGTCACTATGCTGGGTGACCAATTACAATTATTTATTTATTTATTGCACAAACTTTCTTTGAATCCCAGAAACTGCTCTTGGACATCTAACCAGTAGCAGTTTTTAAGACTTTCCATGGACTCTCAGGCTCCTGGGGTGGGGGTGGGGGGGGGGCTCTCTTTCATATTCCTACTTTGCCAATGCATAGTGACGCTTTTCATTATGGACCCATGAAATGTGAATTTTTCCCCATAGTTTTGCATGTTTAGCCAACTGAAAGAAATGATTTCTTCAATGCGCTTAGGCTTTGAAATAATATAGTATAATGTAGTGTAATGCAGTAGTAATATACTGCTTTTTAAACATTGCGCCTTTAATTCTAACAAGCTTCCAGCATTGCTAAAAAGTGTGGAAGTAGCACAGTGCTTCATCATACGTGACTTAAATAAGCTGTTAAATATTTTATTGACCAGAATATTTTTTATGGTGATTTTTTATTGACATACAGTGATAATACTATTAATATCAATTGATTTTAATATTCTATGATAATCACTGAAACCATAGAGAGATTCCTGGACAGACTGAATGTTCAGAGATGAGCCTTGGTATTAATGAAATTCACTGTATCCTGCTGTCAGATTCTCGAAATGTCTCGTGTTTGCTGGCAAAAACCATTATGGTTAATTTATAGATTATTATCTTTTGCACTTGGTTCATCCAGTTCTACAAATACACTAATCAAAATGGATTTGGGAAGGCTGACATCCTCAAATTAGGGGCAAAAATTGTGACTTCTGGATAACGCACACCGTGACACTAACACACTCAGGGACGACATCACTTCCTGTTTCTGTTCCGTATGCGTGGCACATCCTCACTACCATCTGTTATTTGTTATTTTTCACCTCTATCTCTCTCCCACTATCATTTCCTTCGCTTGAAACCTCAGTCATTTCTCAAGAGCTGCCTTTGCAGGCACGCAGATTCTCCGTGTTTCCTCAGAAAGGGCAGCGCATGTTCTCTGACCAGCCTACGGCTGCAGAAGTGCTGCAATCTGGCACAACCGACTGGCGGCTTTCAATTAGAAGCGAATGGGCTGCATGATACCTTTGCAGAATGGCAGCCAATTTGCCAGTGGTTTGTGCCATGAAGACTAATAGAGCCCCATCTCCATCCACCACGTTATTTTTATGGGCTGTTTTTTTTAGCACTTGTGTGGAACA